TTCTTTCCCCCGCCGTTGGTTGTTTACGGGGCTTTCCCCCTGTCTCGGGGCCATGCTGTAGGTGACGATGTTACTCTCGGTGCCGTGGAAAAAGTGTCACGTTGCACAACAGCGTCAAACTGAGCGACCCGCAGAAGTAGCCGAGAATCGCACCCCGGTGGTCCTCCAAGCGATGTGTCGCCGAATGCCTTCGGGAAGTGGGAGGCAAAGTCCCCGATGAGCAGGACAGCTGCGGTCACCCCCGGGCTCCGTAGTCACCGTACTCGCGGAGGGCAGCCTTGGTGGTGAAGAGCGCGAAGAAGCCGAAGTCCCCCTTCTGCAATGCGGCGGAAGAAAACTGAGAGAAAAGGCGGAGCGAAAGGGAAAAGTATGGTTGTCCCGTGGGGGGCTAAGAAGTAGTAAGGAGAGAGGGCTCACGGAGGGCCTCCCCACGGGCTTGAACCGCTCGCGGCTTGAGCCAAAATGGCTAGCATCTCTCCCTCTCTCTCTCTCTCTATATATATATATATAATAGACAGAGACAGAGAGCGAGAGAGAGAGAGAGAGATAGAGCGAGCGAGAGAGGACAAAATCTCAAACCACAACAGAGCGTGTCACTGTGATCGTGTCACTGCCAATTGAATCCCTTCAGGACTTCAGGGCCTGCAGCTGCCCGTGTACCTCCGACGTGGGCATGGCGAGCAAGCGACTGCGCCTCAACGCACGGCACTTAACGTCGAAGTACTTAATGGCAAACATAAGCCAACTCACTCATACCAAAAAACATGGAACAAGTGCAATGCAAAATTTGTGATTCTTCCTTGGGCCCTGGTTTGCGAAGTAACTCAGTTAAGGATTCAAGTAGAGCGACAACGTTTCCAAAACACAGGCCCAGGATGTTGAGTTCGGGACGTAGCGCAAAGGAGTAATAGGTTAAGGGAGTAATAGGGATTTGGGCGTTCAGGGCAAGTGGGCTGCCTTTTGCAGCTTTGGAAGGTCAAGTCGAGGGGTCCAGTTGTCGAATCGACGTCACTGCCTGCCTGGCGACAAGCCCTGTCGGCTAAATGCATCCTGTGTGCAGGAGCCAGCTGGTGCAAAACAGGGTATGAGTTGCATTTCTGGACGTGCCATGCATGGCATAAAGTGAGTGGCTTCCGAACCGAACTAACCAGCAGCCTTCAACAACAACGATCATCATCAACAGACATAGATACACCCAATCGGGACGGTTTACTGTCCAATCATCGAAAGCTGCGGGAATGCTGACAAACAAACTGCAGGACGCCAGGTGCCAGACGCGCAAGCCTGCTGCAAGAAAAGCGCCTCCAAGGCATTCAAGGCTCGCGGCGCACTCCGCTGCTTCGTTGCGTGCCTGGTCTGGGGGCTCCAGGCTTTGGAAGCGTCCCAGCACTTCGGCCACCTGTACCGAAGTCTTTCGGCCCCACCGCCCCAACTGCAAAGAAGTGAGGCCCAGACGGGCAAGGCCAGCCCGAGGTGGCACAAAGCTAACCGTGCGAGCCTCGAGTCTACAAAGAACTTCTCCCAAGCACACAGCTTCGGTTATAGGCCGAGCTACACAGCTGGATGGACATCTGCATGTTGCAGGAGACGATCAGCCAATCCCTGCGCTTGCTGGAGAGACAAGTCTCCGTCAAGATCTTGAAAACCTTGAACTTACTTTCACTGCGTAGCAAAACAATAGTATGCAAAAACCTGCAAGTTGCCAGGAGGCACTGCCTTCCTTTCAAGCTTTGAGGAGTGTCAGGGGGGCTTTGCCTTCCCATGCTCTCTGAGTCTCTGCAGCCCATTACATCGCAAGATTACAATTGCAGATCGTGGTGGAAGCCACGCGTTCTGCAGCAGCGCCGAACTCGTGCTTCGGTTGCGAGAAGTTGCCAAGAGCCCATCTAAATGCTAGCGTGATGTCCTGCAGAGCAAGTGACATGGCACAGTAGACTCTTCTAGATGCTGTTCTTCGATCAAACTCAGGGAATAAAGGATCGGCTGTGCTCCCACATGTCGCAGCCAGCAGCTTAAGCAACCATGGCCATCATTACCCTTGCTGCTACGGCTGAATGCAGGAAGCAATAAGCGATCGACTCTGTGGGCGTTGACTCTATCGGAAGACGCGGACAACAGCTGACAAGATCAAACCAAACCAAACGGCTTGAAAGCGGGGCGGTCTACTGTCAAAGATACCAGCATTTTAGAAGACGGAGGACTGCTTGTTAGGTCCCTTTCGTGTCACGAAATCTGCAGATGTGCCCCGGCTGCCTCTAGGACTTCGCGGCAAGCGGCTCTTGGATCTCCGGGTCGCTCGGACTGCTGGCGGTTTCCCAGTCCAACAAGTGCGACGACGGCATCCAGCCTAAGAGGTGTCAGACACGTTGCGCATATGGACGAAATGCAGGGTGCCGGTGTTTGCACGCAGCCGCCAGCGTCTGCATGACTCGCTGGGCCAGCTTTTCGCAAGGCTGCTCTCATCCAACTCTCCGGGGCCCGGGCGCAGACTGAAGCGCTAAGAGTTGGGAGGTACTCGAATCAACCTGTCCGACATGCGAAAGACTGAGACATTTACTGGCCCCGAGTCGCCTCTTGTCGGGCCATGAGCGATTCAACAAAGGAGTCTACGAGGCTCAGCACGTCCTTGGAATCGCGCCAGGCGGCTTCCGGAAGTTGCAACAAGGGAGTCCCTCTGAGGATGCCGCAGGCGTCAACATGAGGAGGTGCCGCTGTACATGCTCGGCACGCGTGTGATTGCTGCAAGCCAGAGCCAATGTGCAGACCTGCAAAAACATGGCTTGCAAGGGGGCAGTTTCGACTTCGAAGAGCCCGCATCCGAGCTTCAAGCCCAACGACACAGCAGGACTACCAGCACTGGAGGTTGGCGGCTGTGGCCGCCACTGGCCTTGGAACACGGCTCTTTGCACAGCATTGCGGGCTGTTTCTTCTGCTTCTGCCCAGTTCTGCGTTTGGATTCATGCTACTCCTCCGGCGTGCATGCCCACACGCGCATGACAAAAGCGTCTGGAGGTGTCAAGCAATCTCATTCAGGTTGTTGGAGATTCAACAAACACGGTGGCTGCATGAGCTATCTTCCTGTGTTGCTGTGTCGGGCCGGTGCGGGTGCCTCACAATAGCTAAAAACCGGAGACTCGTCGCGACGGCGTGTGAGATGCTCATGAAGGCAACGTGAGGCACTTAGACGCTTTGACGCGCGAAAACATATCTAGGACCCCGGTCGGAAGCTCCGTAAGACAGCTTGCAATCAATCTTGAAGATTCCTCCCTTTTGCTTCTCGTTTATTGGTATCCTCCCCATGTGGCTTCGCCCTCCGATGAGATCTGGGTCCGGGCGGACACCACACGTACAGATTGAGGAGGCGGGTGGTCCAAGTAAGAGCAGACATGTGACATGGTTGGGTTTCTTGCCCCCGCTTTTCCTTCCTGCATGTTCTCGATTGGAAATCGCCCATGGGCTAAAGCGCATCCGCTCATGCTCATGGAGCAATCTGATCTCGGCCATCGGCCAATCCACACATGCACACATGCTCGCACGTTGTACCGGAAGGGCGAATAGAGTTCAATGGAAAACCAGGGAACGCCCGGCATGGCACAAAGGTTGCGTTCGGCCTGAAGTTTTTTCTTCAAAACAAAGGGTCATTAACGCGTGCGTTAGCCAAAACCACAAATGGACATCAATGAGCAGGCACTTCGCCTGGCCTCCAGTAGGCGGGGTCAGTACTGTACCAAGCTTTAGATTTTGTTGTGCTCTCAAATGAAATCTATGCGAAACATGGAAGCCTTCTCGCACCAAAAAAACACAAACACACAGAGCGTCATCTGGACAAGAAACCAAGCTTCCTCTGCCAATGGTGAAAACATCGTCAAGCCAAGAGAATCGCTGACTAGACCTTATCTCAGCTTCTGTGAGCCCGTCGAGACCTGCTTCAGGCTTGGAGCTAAGAGCTACCTCCGACTCATCTTCCTTCATCGAGTCTCATGCAGATACGCCATTGTCCCAGTGCGCTGTCTTGTTTGGAAAATCCTGAATGTGCACAGGGCCAAAACGTAAGTGATTGTACATACACCGCACCACTGCTCCCTCGAATCTCGGTTTTAAACAGTGCTAGTCGCAAACTCCATCCTCCGTACATCTCTCGATCCACTTGTGTGACAAAACTTTGGCGCAAAGCGGAAAACGATGCACAAGGCGATTGCACTTCGTCGTAGCAGCATCTCTCTCTCTCTCTCTCTGTGTCTCTCACACACACACACACGGTGGACTTGCTGCTCGTCTCGGCGACTTCGCGGGGGATATCACCAGTTGGAAGCCACGCGTGTGGCCTCGTATGGGGCACCTCTACGAGAAGTTTAGCACGCAACTCTGCAGCTGTCGGAAGCCCTGGCCAGATTCAGCCGTGGCCGTGTGATGTTGCACGGTGAGCTTCACTGTCACGTGAACTCCACGTATCAGATTCCCAAGATCAGATTCCTGCCAGCTGCGTGTCCCTTGATTAAAAGTCAAGAAGAGGGCCCGGCCCGGCCCGGCCCGGCCCGGCCCGCCCCGCCC